ACTTCCTAGGGAAGTGGTGCTGGCTCCTACCCTGGGGATGTTTAAGAAGGGGCTCGATGCCTACCTGCTGTGCGGGAGCGCGAGAATCCAGAAACCCCGGGGAAAGCAGTGGCTGGATATCCGCTGGGTCGGACCCGCCCTTTCCCGGCGAGACAGGGCACTCACTGACCGATTGCAGCTGGGATCGCAGAGAGACGGCCCTAAAAGGGCCGGCGGTCCAGAAGACAGGGGCAGCGGCGGAACCGGAAGTGCCCGGACAAGCGGCGGACACCGGCGCCGTGGGAAGCAGGCAGAGGCGATCCGCTCAGCACTGGACCCACACGTTCTGGGGCGCGGGTAAGACCCCAGCAGGGGACCGGGTCGGAGCAGTGGGCAGCGGAAAACCCGGCTCAGCAGTTCCCCTCAGAAGCCAGGGGAGACAGTGGGGCAGAGCCGCTGGTGTGAGGAGGGAGCAGCTCACCAGTCTGGCGAGCAGACGGCAACCCTACTGGGGGAAGACTTGTCCTTCTCCCGAAGTCCCAGGGGAAGAGGGACACTCCACGGGGAATTAGGCTCATTGGAGCCCAGCGGACAGAACTCCACCGGAGAAAATACGACTCAGCCCGGTGAGGCAACTGGGCAAGCTGAATCCCGCGGGGAAGAGGGAGGAGTGATCCGAGTACTATTGAGGCCAGTGGGGACCCCACAGTCCAGAGGCCAGGGCGAGGGTGTAGGGGTGGAGAAGCCCTCTGCAACCCCGGAGACCCATATACGCAGAGTCTTACTTCCGGATGTGCACGCGCCACACGAATAATACTGAACCAGAATAACATCAAAGTCATGGCAGGCAAGTTCAGCGGGTGCACCGCGGGAGGTGAGAGCGCCCTCTAGCAAGAGGGGTCCACCCGGGTCGGACTGAATATAGAAACGAAGGCTCAGCACTTCACGCCTGGCTGGACTCATTTGAGTCCAGTTTTTCTCCTGCCTAGGCGGGGGGTTGGACTTGAAGATCTACAAGGTCCCTTCTGACCCTACTTCTATGATTCTATGATTTATTTCATTAGATTGTCCTTGTCTTCAGAAGCCAAATCTCTTCAATTTTCCAGGGTTGCAGATCTGGAGTTATGGAGACTAGAGCTACATTTGGGGGGGCGGGGTGGAAGGGAGCAGCTGTTCTAGGTTATGTTCCTTAGGCCAGTTAGCAGAGTTCCTCACAGAAGCAAACTCACAAGTTTTCACTTCTAGGAGCAGGAGTAACACCCTGTCCTGTTTTGTCCCTTTCACAGAAGTCCTTTGGGGGGTGAAGTTTTCTTCAGTTCCATGCTGAGAGGTGGATGAAGATGGACTGGCTAGAGTAGAGGTGCTCTAGGGAAGTGGGCAGGGTTGTCCACAAGACGGTTTCTGGATTCCCTAATATTTTCTCTAATATTACTTGCACCCTAAAGCTCATGTGATTTGGTGTCCACCCAGCAGCCTATGTTTTCTAAGAAGAGTACTGGGTAGAACTGTGGTATGGTTAAACTTGTGGAGCTATGCTGTGCTTGTTTTCATTTCCTGCAATGTTTTTCCTCGAGAGGGCCAGATGTATCCGTATTTCACCCAACGTACTTGCACATCTTTGTTTCCAAAAGGTGAAACTGCAGAGATCATGGAATGCAGCAGTTCAACTCAGGTTGGTTCAAAATACAGAGACGGGTTTGAGGTTGATTAGAACTAAGTGCTGAGAAACGTATCTGATTTCACAGCAAACTTTACTCTTTCTTGTGGCCCTTATCTCTCTGCTTCCCTTCTTGTCCTCTGAGTTTGGGATCCAAACAAAGTCAAAAGTATCAAGTTTGGTTTTTGCCTTGAAGTATGTAAAACAAATATGGGTGTTGTATCTAATATTTTGCACTGCTTTGAGAATAAACTTGCAACCACCCATAAATTAAAAGCAGGGTTTAAAAGCAAATAGGGGTTTCTTTGTTTAAAGATTAAAACAAAAGGTCTAGAACATAATGTGAATCTTTTCTGCCAGTTGTATAACATCATAAAATTTTACTGGCTCTTGTGAACCTTGTAACATCACTTTATTACATTTTGTGACACCTGTGCTATGGACATGGCTTTTAAATTAAGGCATTAGTTTTAAATCTCTATTTTTATCTTGTACTAAGATAATTTATGTCAGAGAGACTGTGGGACTCCTCACTGTGTGGCAGGGAGGTGAGAGAACTTGAAGGGTAGGTGAATCTTCTTTTTCTCCTCTCTATTTTCCAGGCCTTTTGGTATAAGAAGAACTTCAAGCCAATAAAAAAAATCTTTAGGGGAAAAATCTTGTGGCAGTGTTTTGGAATCTGAGGACATCTGTCTTCATGCCTTCATAGGTCTTTTCATTTGATAAACTTCCCATTTTTTAATATTTCATGTAGGACTCTGAATGTTCTCCCATTATCACAGAAGATCACTATAGGGCTAGACAGTATTCTTATAAATTACCCTGAGTAAAGTTCAGTAAATAGTTGTATTATGCCTGGAGCAGAACAAGGACTGTATTGCCGCAGTCACTGCAGTTCCTTACTCTCCCTTGCTAACAGCCCTTTTTGGGATGGTGCTGGCAGCAGCTTTGTCTCATGCATTCAGGGAAGGAAGGCTTTGACTCTCACTATATATATTTTTTTTAAAGAAAGTGTGGAAAGAGTGGTGCAGATGGCCACACAGTTCAGTGTCTTGGATCTCGCCACTCCCTGGCCTTGATTATCTTGGAGCAGAGAGAGCTAGTTAGCTGCATTGCTCTGTAAAGCAATGCAGAAGGCAGGGTTGACTTGTACCTTATAGACTAACTGCATCAGAGATGTATAGCATAAACTTTTGTGAGTTAGAGCCTCACTTTTATCAGATGCTGTGAAAGGACGTGAATGGAGCATATATGGTATTAAATGGAGAAAGTGATTTGAATACAAAAGATGGGAAAGGGAGGGAGGTGGATCAGTGCTGGGAGAGGTAGCCAACCACTAAGTCCATAAAGCAAAGGGGTCACAAAAGCTAATCCACGTAATGGGATAAGTCCCTGTTTAGAACATACTTAATACTATTTAGTTAACAAAAGACTGCGGTGCTGGTGTCATCAGGAAGGCTTTGGCTTCCATGACCACAGCCCGCTCTTTGGTGAGAGAGGCAGCAAGCTGCTGGGAAGGGATGGCTTCCAACTCTGTCCCCTGGGGAGGAGGCTCTTCTCAGCCAGACTGGCTGACCTGCTCCACTGGGCTTTAAACTGATCCTGCTGAGGGACAGGGGGACTACCGCCACTGCTGGCCCATTCCAAAGCCAGCAGGCCAAGGCACTTAAGGGAGCCAACCCCTGCCACAGTCCTGGTACAATCTGTGGGCAAGGCCAGAACACCCAAGGGGACACTTGTCTGCCTGTACACAAATGCCAGGAGCTTGGGGAATAAGCAGGAGGAACTCGTTCTCCTGCTTAATGCAAAGAATTACGATGTCATAGGGATAACAGAGACATGGTGGGAATCCACCCATGACTGGAGCATGGGTATAGATGGCTAAACCTTGTACAGGAGGGATCGAGTGGATAAAAGGGGCAGGGGTGCAGCTCTCTATGTTAAGAAAAGCTATGCGTCCCTGCAAGGTTATGTTGGTGACCAGGGTGGACGACTGGAGACCCTCTGGGTTAAAGTCCATGGGGAACACGGCACAGGGGACACAATGGTGGGAGTCTACTACAGACCTCCCACCCAAAGTCAAGAGCTTGACAAGGAGTTCATCCGGGAACTGGCTGAGGCTGCATGCTCCAGGACCATGGTTGTCATGGGAGGATCACGCAGCAGAATCCGAGGGTCACAAAGCTTCCTATCATGTGTAGATGACCTCTACCTGACTCAAGAAGTCTAGGGGCCAAAAAGAGGTAAAGCACTGCTCGACCTGGTACTGACTATGGGGGACTACCTAATCAGCAACCTAGTGATCAATGGGAAGCTGGGTGACAGCAACCATGAGCCGATCACCTTCACCATCTGCCATAAAGCTGGGAAGTCAGTCAGCAACACGGAAGTCCTTGACTTCAGGAAAGCCAACTTTGACAAGCTCAGGAGGCTTGTCAGTGAGGCCCTAAGGGACCGTGACCCCAGGGGGAGGGGAGTTCAGGAAGAGTGGTTGCTCCTCAAGGGAGTGATCCTCAATGCACAAGTTAATTCTATTCCATCTTGGAGGAAAGGCAGCAAGAGGGCACAGCAGCCCCCCTGGCTCTCCAGGGACCTATCCGACCTCCTGAGGCTAATAAGAAAGGCCTACAAAGGATGGAGGATGGGATTCATCTCCAAGGAGGATTAATTCTGCACTGGTCCAGTCCCGCAGGGAGCAAACCAGGAAAGCCAAGGCTGCAACTGAACTCCAACTA